GGCTCTGCTGCAGGAATGCTCTGCCGGAGCACCTCTGGGTTTAAAGCACCTGCCCGTGCCTGGCCCCTGCAGGCTGTCGAAAGCCCCCACAGGTGGAGGAATGCAGCGGGCTGATCTCCTCCTCCCTTCTCCTTAGCTGGCAGCGGAGGCTCTCCAAAGAAGCCAAGCCTATCCCCGGAGGCGGCCGAGCCAAACCCAAACCCAAGCCAAAGCCCCAGCCGCGCCTGCCCCAGTGCCGCGCCCTCTACGCCTACGATGCCCAGGACACAGACGAGCTCAGCTTCAATGCCGACGAATACATTGAACTCATTAGAGAAGGTAAGCGGACTCCCCCTGCCTGCCCCTGGACCTGCCCACCCCTCCTCCAGCCATGGGGGGAGGCAGCACGGGGCTGTACTCCTCAAAGGGAGGGTGGGTGAGTGGTTAGAGTAAGGGCTGAGGAGGGGTATGACTAGGCTGCCACAAAGGGGATTGGGAGCCAGGACTCCTGGGTTCCATTTCCAGCTTTGCTCCGATCACTGGAGCTTAGGAACCAGGCCTCCAACTCCCACATCTCCCCCACCCGGCGTTGGGCCCCCTCAACTTGTCAGTGCAAAGAGATGCTGCCCAACAAGGTTAAACAATACCCCAGCGAGAACTTTACCCGTCACGGGAGCATGTGTAGCTTAGATCCCTCGGCACCGCAACCTCTGAACCTTGCTCCCCCTCCGCTGCATGGGACAAGCTAAGGAAGGGATGGGCAGACGCCAGCCCCCCAGCAATGCCGTGCTGAGGAGGGGGGTTTGCATGCCCAAGCAGCTGGCCTGGTGCTCCTGGCTGACAGCCCCCAACTCGGGCACTCAGGAACTTCAGCTGCAAACCTTCTGCTGTGCCCTGAGCATGGGCTCAGGCCCTGCTCGGGAGAGAGGCCTCCCCTGCTCCAGCTTGTTAGGGCTCTGAGTAGTGGCTGGTGGATACTCCTGTGCCTATGGTGTTAAGCTGCAGCTTTGAAAAACATCAGAGCCACTAAAGATCTGGGCTATTAACTCAGCCTTGGGGGCCTGCCCTTGTGCACTCAGTGCTGGGTGCAGCTCTTAAAGCTACACTGGAGGATGATGATAATCTCGGCTGAGCGCCTGTGTAACACAACTCGCGTCACGCTAGGCCCAAATTCCTCTTTGAACTGGAGCGTAGTTTTTCGAGCTGGCACGGTTCAAAACGAGCAGCTTATTTCCAGTCAGGTTTTATCTAGCTTCCAGCTGCTGGCTCTCCTGTCTTTTGCTGCAGGGTTAGAGGTGCCTACGATCAGAAATCTCTCCCCAGTCTGGACCCGCAGCCTGACCACGGGCCCTGAGTGTAATCACTACCAGGCTGACTGGGTAGCATTTTATCCATACTTTGCAGTGCAAGCACCAGTTCTTGGTAGGACGTGGATGCGGCTGCTGCTGCCCCATCACACTTGAGACCAGCTAATGACAGGGTTGATCAATCTCTCTGTACAGCCGGTGGTGACTGCTGCCTGCCCTCTTTTCCTTTTCAGACCCCTCAGGCTGGTGGCGGGGCAGGATACGGGGGAAAGAAGGGCTGTTCCCCGGGAACTATGTGGAAAAACTCTGATGGACGTGCCAGCTTCATTGCTCCAATTCTGACCCGGGGATCTAGGAGGGAAGAGACGTGTCTGCAGGATCCAATCAGCCTTGCTCCTGGATTATACAGTGCTGCCGGGCTCGACTGAGGCCACTAATTTAAGGCAATTGAGTGGGAGGACGACGATTGGATCATGTTGAGAGCCCTCTTCCTCTGAATCTTAGCCCCTCAGCGTGTTGCCTTCCTTCTGCTCTGGGGTGCATGGTGGAGAATGCAGGTTAGCCTGTCTGTCCTCCTGAACGAGGAGCAACTCAGCAGGCATTGGGCCTCCCCTTCTCAGGAACCAGCACCTACTGCTTGGACTCACCGGGACAAGACCAGCCGCTCGGCCTTGTTACGCAGGGTTAAAAAAAATCTTCCTCCATAACTGTATAAAAAGAATAAATTGATGGTTTAATTTTCTACACTAACCTCTGCTCCACTTTCAAAAACAGCTGTAGCTTTTTAACTCAAATCTGTACCGACAAAGCGAGCACGCCTCCAGCCTGGTGGAAGCTGAGTCGATGTTTTCATCAGCTCCCATTTTGAACTGGGGAGCCTAACCTTCTCCTCAGGTGTTATCAGACAAGGCCAGCGGGCAGTAGAAGGCTGCCTGGCTACCTTAAAGAGATTTCCTTGAAAGCCTCCAATTCCTCTTCGGTAATAGCTACTACTAAAGGAAAACTGCCATGTAATCAATTGCACCATGTAATCAAAACTGCTGCATAATCAAATGCACCATTTTGGCAAGCAGAGTAGGACACAGGAAACTCATCAGTGGAATGACCGAAGAGCAGGTTTCCCGGGTTAAGTTCAGCTGATGTGTTGTGCTTTTTACCTGTCCCAGCAGAGGTTTGGCTTCTGCAGGGAGGTGTCCCCTCAGTTCCCAGGTAGCTAGGTAATAGCTGGAAGACTCAGATGCTCCTAAAACCCTAGGCAAATAGTGGAATGAGTTTTCCCTTCAAACAAAGGCAACAGCAAGTGGATGGCAGAACTGGGCTGGTTCGGTAACGGAAGAGCTACACGAGTCGCCTACGCTGAAGCCCGTGTCAGGGGAGATGGACGCTGCTCCAGATTTCATTTGTTTTTAAAAGGCAGCATTATCACATTATTTCCCATGTTGAGACTGCCGGGAGCTTTCATTCCCAAGTGTTTGCTTTGACGTGTCTAGCCACCGGACTGCAATCTAGAATGAAAACCCATCTTCTTAAAAGAACAGCAAGTTTCCTACCCCGTTACTTGTCTGAAAGAGAGACTTTAACGAGCCTCTTCCTTAGCTCAGTCCCAGGCAGTGTAAATCCTCTGGTTTTGTATATTCTGTAAAAACCGAAGACAGCAGCTTGTATAGTTCTGACGTCTCCCTCCGCGTCCCGGTAATAAACTGCTGTTTAAAGCAGGGGTTTTCAAACTGGGGGTCGCAAGGTTATTACATGGGGGGTCACGAGCTGTCAGCCTCCACCCCCAAACTGCGCTTTGCCTCCAGCATTTATAATGGTGTTAAATTTATACAAAAGTGTTTTTAATTTATTAGGGGGGGTCGCCAGTACAAAAGTTTGAGAACCACTGGTTTAAAGGAACCTGTGCCACCTTTTATCCAGCTTCATACACAACCTGTCCTGTCCCTCTGGGACATTTATCTACTACATTCCTACACCATCCCATCCCTAGCTCACAAAACTCACATGTAGACAATGCAAATGCCACATACCTGGGAAAGTTTCCAAAAAATCCTGTACGTAGAGAGTCTTTAACAGCTCAGCTGAGCCCTGCCCTGGTGACGAAAGTCAGCCTGATTGCGCCGCAGCTGGCTACGCACCAGTAGTTCAAATCCAATTTTAACTAGATCAACGGTAGTAGCATAGAGGGAACGCTGGCCTGTGTAGCAAGCTCTTTGCTAGCCCTTAAAAAACGCACACGTCTACTTTCCTGCAGCCAAAGTTCATCCCTCCTTTTATTGTACTGCTGCTCACTGGAAGATCCTGAAGCCTATACAAAAAAAGATGCAATTTTTAAACCCTTATTGCCAGGCAAATATGGTCTTTGCAGGATTACCGTGTTCCCAGCAGGTAACATCCCTCCAGGTTCTTACATAGTGAGTTGAGAGGTAAGACTGCCCCCCACTCTATGCCTTAATGCAACACAAACCAAGCCACTTTGGCAGTGAGCCATTTGGTACCCAGGCCACGTGACACACGCCAGAATGACAGGGGTAGAACCACCTTTGGAACCGGCTTCAGAACCAGGCCCCAAAACCAACTCCATGGAACGTGACTCTGTCTAGTTAAAACCGTGGCAACCATTTAATTAACACAATGTACAGCCGAAGTTAAACCACTAAAAGTTTTAATTGCATTATTACTACAAGAATAAAGAATACCTGAGAGCCTTTCGCAGTGCCCATATTTTTAATGTAGCATAATCATCAGTTCACAAACCCCCTCTAAAAACAAAATGCAGAGTCTCACTTTTTTTTTTTTTTTTTAAACAGAAGTCAATCTAAAGGCACTGAAGTGCATGGGAAATAAGATCACCAAAGATTACAAAGCAATTTGTTTTTCTTCCTCTCTAAAACGGTAGAAACTTTAGGTTCGTCTATATTATTGAACAGCATTTACACTTTCACAGCTCCAAGCGAATACATTTTTAAAAGGTGTAGGGTTTTTCGGGGTGGGAGAAGAGACAGTTAAGACAAAGCAAAAAACGGGGAGGAAATTTAAAATATGTAGTTACCTTCATTTCAGCTTGGTTACTCTTGTGAGTGGAACTAAAGGTCTTAAAAATATAGTTACCACTCCACTGCAGCTGCTGACCCTGTTGGAAGGCAGGTTGTAACAACAAGCATTGGGAATATTTGATGGCAGTTTTATACAGTAAAAGGTGTGGGGTTTTTTTTTTTAAAAAAAACCTCAAATGCTGCTGCGTAAACATTCATTTGGATCAAAAAAATTGTTTACTATGAATTAAAAACAACAACAACCGCATTTGTTCCTTTCAACCGAACCATCTTCGGAGGGGGAAGAAAGTTATCCCGTTGAACTTAAAAACAGCAAATCCTTTTTCTAAACAAGAAAAAAATAAATCACAACAGTAGCTTTTTTTTTTTAGTGTATGTTACAGAACTTTTTACACACAGTTTAAAAGTTATTCACCATTAAAAAAAAAATAACCCAAAGTTAAGTTACCGAAATAAGAATTACTCACACAACACCCTAACTGAAACACAGAAGCCAAAGCAACAAACGAAACAAGTCGAAATCGTTTTTCCAAACATGATTTAGGGATTCAGCCATTTGCACAATATTGAAAACTCTTGTGGATGCTGCTGCAATACTGACGGTCCAAAACTGCTATAAATATGCTTCCGAGTCCTTAACTTGGCTGTGATCTTGGTCACGTGGTACAGGAATGCGCTGTCAGTGGGTGGCAAGTGCTGCACTGGCAGATGAGGGACCCAGAACCCGAAGCGGAGGGGGAGATGAAAGCTGAACCCAAAGGGGGAGTTTCAGGGCAGTGCTTGCTCTGATCAGTGGACCTGGCCTGGGGTGGGGGTTTTCCTGCGGATCTTGGATTGAGGCCCTGCAGAGTTTGCAATGCCAGCTGCCATGATTTAAGTGTGTGTCGGTCCAACGGGCCTGTGGGTGCGTATGGGTTGGGAATGAAAGCATCTACGTCAATCTAAGAACTGAATTCTGCATAATTTTTTTAAAGAGGGTTTAGTTTCCCCTTCTGCTTCTAACAAAGCACGTTCTCTTACCCTCTAAATTTACCATGGTTATTTACAACCAGCTGGGACTTTTAAGGACGTGGTAGCTGGAAAACCCTAGCAGGTGCTTTGAACAGACTAGTCTCAACTCCCTTGGATTGAAGATCCAAGTTCTCTTGGCAGCCCCAAGCAAGGAAATGGGGTCGCTACCCTCTTCTGTTCCTAGATCCTTCTGCTTCTTCACTACTCAGCCTGGGCAAACAGCATTTCCAAGCAGAAGCAGCACAGATCAGGACCCACGGAGTTCCACCTCATCCCACAGATAAGATTCAAGCCCAGCCCTCAACCAATAACATCTGGGGGAAGGGGAGTTTGGGTGCATCCTTTTGGGTGCTGATTTTCCCCCCCACCCACCCAAAAATAAAATCCCCACCTGCAACAAAATCTCTGTTTTTGATCAACTGTTCTTTGACCCTCGCGACTGTAAAGAGATTTAGTATTCACTGATAACTTGGTTCATTTCTTGGTAAAGAGAGAAAAGCTCACAAGCAGAGACTGTTACAAACGCTAGCAAGGGGGTGGGGGAAACTTAATCAGGACTAATCACCCCTCGGTGATTTCAAGGGATTGCCTTGGGAGGTAGGCAAGGATCAAACTAAGCTGTTTCTGGCTTCTCAGACACCCTTTATATAGTACATGCAGGGTTAACTGCACTGCCCTGGCTCTCAGTCCATTTCCCTGCCAGACCTCACTTCCTGAGGTTATTGCTTTCATTTTCAAGACACACACACATACATACACACACACGCACACAGAGTTGTGCAGTTCTGCTTGTCACCTGCAGCTTAATAGCCAAATGTTTCCTTTTAAATCCAGGCCACCTGCAGCCATCAACCCTGTACATATATTTCAGTTAGTACAAAACCCAGAATCGCGTTAAGTTAGTGCAAGTAAACCTGTGAAGAGGATTCATAACACATGCATTCAGTGGGTGAATACAGTTAGTGAACAAACCACAAAAACTCGGTTCGATGCTGTCAGTTAAGATACCAGGCAACTAACCGAGAGTCAGGTCAAGATTTCTTCCCGGAGCTCCAGATGAAAATACAAAATAAGCAACATTACCAAAAAAAGTTGGATCCTGCTGTGAACATCTTAACACAGTAACTTAAATTCCCAGGCGGTTCCCTGTCCTAGGAGGTGGCTGGGGGCTTCCCCGACCTGTCCCCACATCAGCGCTCCTGGAGAGAAAGGACTCCCTTCGGACAAGTCTGAATGTGGGAGAGGCAAACTCCCAGTAAGCGGGGGAAGCTCCCGTCAGAAAGAGCTGAAACACGGCTCAGGAAAGGTGACCGTTAAGCAGCTGAGCCTGCAAACAACATCCTGGCACCGGAGCGCTGCCCTCTGAGCTGGGAGACAACGGCCGCGGACACGCTGGGTAGGGACGACTAACTGCCCTGTTCCAATGAAGGGAAGCCACCGCCCATGACAATCCGAACACATGCTCGCGAACAGAGCGGGCTGTGTCCCTCGTTATCATTCAGAGCAGCGTATGAACCGTTTGCTTGCCCATGTAGTCTCAGAGCTAGGCTAGACCTCCAACTCCTGCCCTCGCTGAGCTCTTGCTTGCCTACACTGTAAACCAGCCCAATTCCCCGCCCCGCGTCGGCCTCAGCCGGGCCACCAACCGAGAGAAGCCAGAGAGCGGATCCGTCCAACTTTCCTCTAGGTTTATAAATAAGGATCTCGTTTCTCTTCACAGCTTTACATATCCAACCTACATACTGAAACGGTGCACAGAGAGGGGGGGCCCAGCTGGGAGCCGGCCGATGAGCTCTGTGCAGAGATTATATACACGCGCTGCCCTCTCCCTCGCCCCTAGTTCTCGGGGCTCACGTTCTGCCTGGCTCTGATGAAGGCCATGCCGTGGGTGCGGAAGTGCGTCTTCAGGTTGAGCTGGGTGTCGAAGCACTTCCCGCACACCTTGCACACGAGTTTACCGTCGGCTGAGCGCTGGGCCCCTCCCTCGTGGCCACTGCGGGGGCTGGGCTCCTCCACCTCCCCCGCCCCCTTCTTCTTCTTGTGGGTGATGAAGCGGTGGCGGTTGAGGGAGACCTGGGAGGTGAAGCAAAGGCCGCACTCCCGGCACTGGTGGGAGCTTTCGTCTGTCCTGTGCTGGGGTATGTGCTCCTGGAACTCGGCCGCGCTGCAGGCCACGTAGCCGCACTTGCGGCAGCGGAAGGGGGCTTTGCGGTCCGCCTTGGGGTTCTTGGAGGGCGGCGTGGTGCTGTCCGGCTCCTCACTACACGAATCGCCCTCGTCCGAGGAGAGTTTCCGCTTCCTGTTGGACACCTGTGGGGAGGAGTTTGGAGAGGCTTGACCCTTAATGCTGGGCAGGGCCTGGGCCCTGTGCGCTTAAACTGGCTGTGCCAGACAAAGGCCTGCCCCACGCAATGAACACGTCCCTCCCGTGCCTCGCGGCGGGGGACAGGAGCAGCTCCAAGCTGCTCAGACAAGATGATCCTTTGGCTCCTTTCTCTGGCTGGATGAAAATCCCAACAGACGATCAGCCAGCCCTGGCAGTGGACTCAGCCCCGCCCTCATCCGCTCCTTGGCCTAAATACACTCACTTCACAGCCTCCCCTCTGAAACGCTGCTGCTCTGTATTCCCGGCTGCAGCCGGCCTCTCAAGCCAACTAGTCAGACAGGA